AGAGTAAAAAAGTAAAAAAGAAAAAAAAGTATGTATACAGAACAGTGTTGGCATTTTTGGTACAATTGTACTTGTTTGATACAATTTCATTTACAATATACTTTCCTACTACGCAGTACTTTTTAGTAAAATTTTGTAATGAATACTAAAAATATATAGCTCTGAAAATTCACAGTTCGCCTGTTCGTATTTACCTTTGTAAGTTTTGATAAATGGCTTGAACGAACCAGTATAACATAGCCTAGCCAAATTTTTAAAGAAACTTTTCGATACTAAGTTTTATTAAAACAAAATGTCAAAGTCAGCTTCATATAGAAACAAAGTCTTCGTTAGTTATAATAAGAGATTTTCTTAAATATAATACCTTTACGGCACTCACATATTGACAAGGTTTTACTATTTATTTTATTATTCTTTAATTTTAATTATCTGTTTATAAACTATAATGTATTCTTTAAGAAAAACTGTATAAACCCAAGATTAAATCTTTGCGAAACATCCAAAAACCAACATACTGTCTTAAAAATTTCGAGCTTTATTAATATTCTTTAGTTTTTAGCCCATTAAATTTTAGTATAATAAAGTGCAAGTTTAAAGTAGCTGGGACTTACCGTTGAACTTGGCAATTTTGTTTTGTCGACGATGTCAGCCATTTTCTTCCATACGAAGTGTGTTCGACGATTTTTTTATATGGAGGAAATTAGCAACACCTTCATCAAAGAAATCTTAAAAAACTTAGTTATATTAAAATTTAATGGGCTAAAAAACCACACACTCAAAATAAATCTAGGAAATCGAATTAAATAGATCGAAATTTTTACGAAAGTGTGTTGGTTTTTTTAATGTTGCACAAAGTTTGAACCTTGGATTAGTACGGCTTTTCTTAAAATATAAAGCGTATTTTTACAAAAAATAATTAAAATTGAATAATATTAAGATAAATAGTCAAATCTTCTCGAAAAGTTTTGATAAGCACTTGAAATTCTATTAAAATGTAAAATTTTAGTACTGAATCCAAAGAAAATGTCTCTTTTATCCATTAATAATAACTTAAATATGCTTTTTGTTAAGATGTATACCTGAAAATGTGTGCATACATATTTGCGTTAAATGCAATACATGTGCACGTGGAATCAATTTGTAAAAGTGTAAAATACGTAAACGTATGTACATAAACAATAAAACTTTCTGCATGAATACCATAAAATCATTGGTCTTGAAGGGAATGTACTAAGAAAATATATGAGCGAATTAAAAAGTGTATACAATTTATAGCCGAAAAGTACATTTTTTGTATAGATTTCGTACTGAAGGAACAATTTCATATCCCAACACTGATACAGAATGTAAACAAACACAGGGTTGCAAGGAAAAAAAGTTGAACGAGCTCAAAGTTGGCTGGCGACCAACTTTGTTGAAAGCGATTAGTTGAAAGGCCGTTCGGACGAAGCGATTTTTGCTTTCAACTAAAAGTTGCCTGAAAAATCGCCACGTGCGAATGCCCTATTAGTAGTATCCATGATTCAATAATACAAGGTTGGATAAACTGACAGTTGTCTCTCTCGCACCGCTCCCTTAGCAGTGGCACCGTGTTGCTTCTTTGCAAATTTACATGGAAACAGTGTAGCTTTGGTGTGAAATAAAAGTAAAAGCTTTTGTGCAATATGTTTATTTGTATATGCATATGAAGCATATTTAACTGATGAAAACATAAGCATTGGATGTTTACATCAGTCTCATAGTAGTCTTATTTTAATTTTGAGCCATTTTGCAGTTTTTATACGGCTCAATAGCATATAAATTACGTAATTCTCGTAGATATACCAATATTACATTCAACATTTCGTTTAAAATGCCAGATTTCCTGCAAATACATTAGAATTTACGAAAGGAATTTCACTACTAATTGCCTACTTTGCGTACTTTTCTACTACCATTTTCGCAACAAGGGATTGCATTCTTGCCCTTTCTCTGTCCTTCGTAAATGCAACCTTTTGTAAGGGAGTGTCAAACCGCAGCTGTCAATAATTATCTAACCTTGAATTATTGAATCATGGTAGTATCGATACCTAAACGAAATCAGAGGATGACTGAACCATTGTGTACAAATACAAGTGAGATATCTTAGCAATAGACGTCATCCTGGGCCACAGCTGCGATCATCTGTTTTTTAGAGTTGCTTATTTTGGTCTAAACTGCGCTTTTTTGACCTGAGTTGCATTAAATAGTCTCTTAAAACTTGGTAGTATTTGTTGTTCAAATGGTAACATATATGCCCAAAAACTTGAAAAATATTAGATGATTGCTTTTTAAAAATGCTATTTATAAAATTTGGTTTTGATTGCGACATTAGAAATATTCAGATTATAAAAGTTTTTCACATATGTTTTGTTGAAGATATTGATTTTGTATTCATTTACCTAACACTATGCATGTCAATCTATTACTTTATACATTGTCATTACTCTTTATTTTTGCTTTATTCATCTCTTCTTTCGTAACTTTAACCTTCTTCTGGATTTAAACCTCGTGGAGCTAACATTCACTTATAATTTTATCTCAATAAAAATATCGAATTATCTCGGCAATCTCGTCAGGTTATGGGCCCAGGCCCGCTAATTTAAATACATTTTGTGAGATTGTTTGACTAATGAGCAATATTGAGGATTTAGAAGCAAGTTCACCTAAGATTAAAGCCGATCAAATTAGCACGTGCTATAAGACATCGGAAGTAATGGCTACAAATTCTGCATCAAGCTCTTCACGGATTGAGTTGCTCTCCAAGGAGAACTTCGACACTTGGAGCATGCAGGTAGAAGCTTTGCTTGTGAAGAACGATCTTTGGGAGTACGTAAATGGTGGTAATTTGATTCCGGCAGAGACCGATACTGTCGCAAGGAGCGCCTTTTTGAAAGCTGACAAGAAAGCTAAAGCAGATTTGATTCTAGCAATCCAGCCATCTGAGTTAAAGCAAGTCCGGGCATGTGAGACATCGCGAGAAGTTTGGCTGAAATTAGAATCGATCTATGCGTCGAAAGGTCCGGCGCGAAAAGCAACGCTACTGAAGCAGTTGATGTTACAGAAGCTAGACGAAGGTGATGATGTGAAGGAGCACATTGCGAAATTTTTCGACGCGGTGGACAAGTTGGAGAGTATGAGCGTACAGATCAATGGTGATCTCTTATCCATCATGCTCTTATATAGCTTGCCGTCATCTTATGAGAACTTTCGGTGCGCGATAGAGTCACGCGACGCGCTTCCAACAGCTGAGGTGCTAAAAGTAAAAATAATTGAGGAAAGCGAAGCACGTAAACAATCGGCGAGTAATACAGTGATAGCAATGGCTGCAAAATCACATGGGCAAAATGGACAGAATCGAAAGAAATTCAGCAAGGGTAAAAGAGAACTAAGATGCTTTAAATGCGGTGCGCTAGGGCACAAGGCAAGCGCATGTTCTGCGAGAAGTGATGGTGGCGGCCGGGGAAATGACTCCAACCACTCCAAGAATTTGGCATATAGCGTTGATGAGACGTACGCGGCGTGCCATTCTGCAGCAACAGAAAAGTCATATAGTGACATACGTGTAAAACGTGCTTGGGTTTTGGATAGTGGATGCACTGCTCACTTGTGTGGTGACGAGTACATGTTTAAGACAATGGAAAAGTCATCCAATCCAAAGCCAAGCTGAATTTGGCGAGTCAACAGGCGTGTGCAGATGTGCAAGGCAAAGGTGTGGTACATTTATCAGTGACTAGCGAAAGTGGTCAGCGCCAAGTTGAGTTCCGAAACACGTTGTTTGTTCCAGAGCTGCGCACTAATTTAATTTCGGTAGGTAAAATTACTGATAAGGGGCACAAAGTGACATTTACCAAGGACGCTGCGTATGTGTGTAATGGAAATGGAGAAATAACACTGATCGCTGACCGCAAGGGCGATTTATATTATATAAGAGAAAGCAGCGAATGTGCTGCTGTCCAGCTGAAGTGCTCCGAACTGTTGAAGTGGCACTGTCGGTTGGGCCATCTAAACGCGGCTGATTTATCAAAGTTGATACATGATGGGGTGGTTCCTACTTGTGGCACTGGCGACGTCAAGCAGCTGGCACAGTGTGAAGTGTGTATAATGGGTAAAATGTCCGCGTTACCGCTCAATAGAGGCAGAGTGCCGTGCTCAGAGCCTTTGAAGATTATACATTCCGACGTTGTTGGGCCATTCAGGGAAGAGTCCATTGGCCGCGCCAGATATTTTGTCACCTTTATAGATGACTGCACAAGGTGGTGCGAAATATACCTACTAAGGCAGAAGTCTGGCGTTTTCGAGGCTTTTAAGCTATACCAGAGATTTATGGAAAGGCAGACAGGGCTGAAAATTAAGTGCCTGCAGTCCGACAATGGACGTGAATATTTAAATAATGATTTTAATACGTATCTTTCAGAATCCGGCATAGCTCCACGGCTAAGTGTTCCCCGAACGCCCGAACAGAATGGAGTCGCTGAGCGAATGAACCGAACGCTGCTGGATATGACTAGGTGTCTCTTATTGCAGTCGGGCCTAGGTCATACTTTTTGGTCGGAAGCGGTAGCAACTGCGTGTCATATAAGGAACAGATGTCCATCGCGAAGCTTAGGATTGAAGTCATCTTATGAATGTCTAAATAAGGTAAAGCCCAATGTCAAATACTTAAGGTCGTTTGGCTCAAAGGTAATGGTACTCGATAAACTACCCGAGAAAAATAAGCTGGCCCCGAGATGTGAAGAAGGCGTGTTTGTAGGGTATCCAAGAGACAACAAGGGTTATCGTGTGTGGATACCAAAGGCGCATAAGATCGTATGTGCGCGTGACGTCCGGTTCGTTAGTGAACAGCAACTGGTTTCACTTCCAACACGTAGCGTCGATGATCTGCTGATGCCGCCTGAAGTTCCAGAAGAGAATAAGAGCAACTGCCGTAAAAGTGTAGAGTTTTCACCTTCTCCTATTGAGACTGATGAAAAGTTGGAAGAGGTTCGAAGGGCACCAGGCAGGCCAAAGTGGTTACGAATGGGAAATAGAGGAAGACCGCGAAAATTGTTTCGTTCTCGCGCTAACTCAGAGCCGTCACAGCAACCGGTTTGTACAGAAAGCGACAATGATAGTGGTGGTGACGATGATGTGTTCGTTGGTATAGCTGAGGTTAGCATGCAGAACGCTTTGAATGGACCTGAGAGTGATGAATGGCGAGACGCATTGGAATGTGAGGTAATTAACATGATTAAAAATGATACATGGGATGTTGTTCCGACCACTCACAACAAAAATATAGTGGGGTGCCGTTTTGTTTTGACAAATAAGTATGGATCCGATGGTAATATTGAGCGACGCAAGGCTCGTCTGGTAGCCAAAGGCTATGGTCAGAATACCATATTTCTGAAGTGAAACGTATGCGCCAGTAGCTCGCTTAGAATCGATTCGCTTGTTACTTGCATTGTCGGCCCATTTTAACCTCACAATCTGGCAGTTTGATGTTGTAAGCGCATACTTAAATGGAACTTTAAGTGAAAAAGTGTTTATGAAGGTGCCAGATATGTTGTATGATATTTTACAAAGAATTATAATGAAGTTTGATAAAAACGGGGACATTGGTAGAAAAGCTGCGAAAATGATGAACGACATAGATGAAGGTGGCAATACTTGTCGACTTTAGAGGGCGTTGTATGGCCTCAAGCAAGCCGGTCGGCAGTGGTATTCCAAACTAAAGTCGAAGCTTTTAAGTATGGGGTTAAAGCCCACAGAAAATGAGCCCTGTTTATTTCATGGAAGTTTTGAGAAAAAGTTAGTTTTACTGCTGGTATACGTAGACGATCTACTAATTGCGTCGCATGAAGTAAAAATTATTCACAAATTAAAACAGCAACTTTTAAATGATTTTGATATTAAGGACATTGGTCGAGCAAATTATTGTCTTGGGCTAAAGATTCATCAAAAGGATGATGTGATTACTTTGAAGCAAAGTGGTTACATACAAGAATTGTTAAAGACATATGGCATGAGTCAGTGTAACCCGGTAGCTACACCATCAGAGTTGAATGTGAATTTTGATAGAAATAATCCAAGTAATGATGAAGCCTGCCCATACCGGGAACTAATAGGAGCTCTTATGTACTTGTCCGTCGCAACAAGGCCCGACATAGCAAATACCGTGTCAAGACTAGCACAGTTTGTGACTAACCCATCGAAATGCCATTGGAACACGGCCAAACGTGTGCTAAGATATCTTGCCGGTACTGCCAATAGGTGTGTCCTCTATCAAAAATCCAACCTACCGCTAATAGGGTACACCGATGCTGATTGGGCTGGCTGCACAACTGATCGTCGTTCCTACACTGGCTATGCTTTCTTGCTCAGCGGTGCTGTGATAAGCTGGAAGTCGCAAAAACAACGTACAGTAGCACTTTCATCAACGGAGGCCGAGTATGTGAGCTTGGCAGAAGCAGCAAAAGAGGCAGTCTACTTGCGTAGTCTCTTAAACGAGATAGTTCTTCAAGAGCTCACCGATATTAAAATCTATGTGGACAACAGAGGGGCGCATTGTTTGGCGAATGATCCAGTTTTTCATGCGCGGACCAAACACAGATATCAAGCATCACTTTGTAAGAGAGAGCATCAGCGCACGGTTATTCTCATTGAAGCACGTACCTACACAGGAGATGATTGCAGATGTTATGACGAAACCGTTGGCGCGAGCAAATCACGAGAGATGTCTTATCGGGCTTGGTTTACCCACTTAGATGACCTGCATATTGAGAGGGCGTGTTGAAGATATTGATTTTGTATTCATTTACCTAACACTATGCATGTCAATCTATTACTTTATACATTGTCATTACTCTTTATTTTTGCTTTATTCATCTCTTCTTTTGTAACTTTAACCTTCTTCTGGATTTAAACCTCGTGGAGCTAACATTCACTTATAATTTTATCTCAATAAAAATATCGAATTATCTCGGCAATTTCGTCA